TTGTCCCACCCCATCCCACCCTCCTAGGCTGGAGATCCACCTGTTATCCCACCCCATCCTGAGATCCACCTGTTATCCCACCCCATCCTTAGATCCACCCGTTATCCCACCCCATCCCAAGATCCACCTGTTATCCCACCCCATCCCACTCTCCAGGCCTGGAGACCCTCTGGATCCCTGGTCAGCCCTTCCTTCCCTCCAGGGACCGAGTCCTTCCCTCCAGGACAGTTTGGAGCCACCTGGACTCATGGGAAGCGTCCCTGGATGCCCCTGGATCCTTCAGGGCCCTTCCCACCCCAATCCCGTTGTGATTCCATGATTCCACGACCCTGGAGAAGGGAACTCCCCAATCCCACCCTCCTCCTGCTCCTGCAGCTTCTCCAACCCCCCCTTCCACCCCTCGGGGTCTCCCGTTCATCCCTGCCCAAAAATCCCGGGAGAAGAGCAGGGGGTTGGCTCTGGAGGAGCCCCGGGAGCCGGGAAAGGGGGATCCCTCATTCCCTGGATATGGATGGGCCCCTGGAAAAGGCCTCTCCGGGCCACTCACCCAAGCCCTGGAGATCCTCCTGGAGGGAGAGAAGCTTCTCCTCGTAGAAGGTCTGGGCCGAGCTGATCCGGCTGGAGATGGAATCCACCTTCCGGAACGCTGCCGAGGGAATGGGGCAGTCAGGAGAGGTGGGAATGCCCGGGAATATCGTCCTGCTCCACACCTTTCCTCCCAGGAAGGCACAGAGGGTGTCCAGGGATTGCTGAGCCAGGCTGGGATGGGCATCCCCGGGAGCTTCCAGGTTTGGGATTTGCCTGAACATCTCCAAGATTCCACCCCTGGGGAGCACCTTGTCCCTCTGCTCCGCCTGGGAAGCACTTGGGAAGCACTTGGGAAGCACCTGGGATGTTGTGGGATGTGATGGGATCCAACCTCCGGGCTCTGGGTTGGTTCCTGATGTTCCCATGCGGGTAAACGCCCCCCCCTTCCTGAGGCATCTCCACTCCCAGCGGAATTCCAGCCGCTCCCCTCCGCCCCGGGATACCTCAGCCCCCCCCCCCAAGATTCCCATTCCCGCATTCCCAGCCCTTTCCCAGCTCACCCAGCGCTCCCAGCACGGCCACGGCCAGGGACAGGAGCAGGGCCAGGGCGTAGAGGCCGCGCAGGGCGCTCCGCAGGGACGGGGACGGGCACGGGGACAGGGAAAACCTCCTCCGGCAGCTGCTCCGGGCCCTTCCTGCGGGAACACAGGGATGGGTCAGGCTCTGCCGGCCCCAATTCCCGCCCCCCGGAATTCCTTACCACTGGATCCCAGGCTGGAGGTGGAATCCACCATCGGCATCTCCTCCCGCTCGCCCCCCGCGGGGTCACGTCCTGGAAGGGGACACGGAGCGGCCTCAGCTCTCCCCCCCGCTCTCCTGATCCCATTCCCGGGGGCCTGAGGATTCCTGGGAACCGCCCCAGATGCGTTCTGCCTCGGCATTCCCAGGGGAAAGCCGGGAAGGAGCCACCGGTGCCAAATCCCGGGAGCACCAGGACGGGAGTCCCTGTACCCTCCCCTGTTCCCAGGGGGACCTTTGGGCAGCAAACCCAGAAATTTGGGTGGGATCCCATTCCCAGGATGCCTGAGGATCCCTGGGAACCGCCCCAGCCTTGTCCTGCCCCGGCATTCCCGGGGGAAAGCCGGGAAGGACCCACCGGTGCCACCCTGAGCAGAATCCCGGGAGCATTGGGATGAGCGTCCCTGTCCCCTCCCGGTGCCCAGTGGGACCTTTGGGCACCAAATCCATAAATTTGGGTGGGATTTGGACCAGAAATCTGTGGAAATTTGGCTGCGTTTGGTCCAAAAGTGGGTGATGGGCACAGAGGGGGCTCCTGGCTCTGGCTCCAAGGGGCTTCCCGGGAATAAAAACCACGGGAGCAAAGGAAAAACACCTCCCTGAGTGAAGGGGGAAATCTGGGCACCAGATCCATAAACTTTGGTGGGATTTGGAGCATAAAATCATGGAAACTTGGCTGGATTTGACCCCAAATGAGTGATGGACACAGGGAGGGCTCCTGGCTCCAAATCCATGAATTTGGGGAAATTTTGACCATAAATTTGGGGAAATTTGGCCCCAAAGTGGTTGGATTTGGCTCCTGGCTCCGAGGGGCTTCCCAGGAATAAGAAAACCCTTGGAATCAAAGGAATCCCCCCCTCCCAGACCCTCAGCCCAGACCCCCAGTGAGGGGGGGGGGAAATTTGGGATCCTCCCAGTGTCTCCCCCTTTATTCCACCCGGACCCCCCAAAAGTGGGGGAGGGAAGGGGGGCAAAGGGGGGCTTTGGAGGCGGGGGGGGAAGAAATTCCTGTCCTTCCCATCCCAAATCTGGCTTTTCCTCCCTCTGGAATCAACAAGTGACGGGATCTGAGCGAGCAGGGGGAGCCCTGGGACCCCCCCCCCTCAATCCCTCTTTCCCCCCCTCCCAATCTGGGGGTCCTTGGCCATGTCTGGACCCCCCCAATCCCTCTTCCCGCCCCCCTTCCCAGTCTGGGGGTCCCCGGCCATGCCCAGACCCCATTCCCGGGAATCCCCTTCCCACGGGAACCAGGACAAAGGGGTGGGATTTGGGGGCCTCCCAGCCCCACTCCGGCCCATCCATCCCGTCCATCCGCCCCTTCCCCCTCTTCCCAGACCCCCAATCCCGCCGGGAATGTCCGTCCCCCCCCCCTCCCCTCACCTCTCATGGCCCCTTTTCCCGCATCCGCCTCTTCCCGGCGATCCTCAGGGTCCGGATCCAGCCGGAGCCGCTTCCCGGCGCTTTCCCCGCGCTCCCAAAACTTTCCCGGGAGCCTCCCGGAGCCCCCCCAGCGCTGGAGCATCCCCGGAGCCCATCCGGGAACGAGGGAACGAACGGGAACACCGGGAATGGCGCGCGCTGGACACCGGCCACCGAAAAAAACCGGGAGAGGAGCTGGAAAGGAAAAAAGGGGCCGGGAAGGAGAGTCCTGAGCCCGCCCCAAATCCACACCCCCACACCCCCTCGGCCCCAATGACTCACAGACGGCCGGGAGGGGAGGGGGGAAACGGGCCCCGATCCATCGGGATTGGGAATAGAGGGATTGGGAAAAGGGGGGAGCTGGTGCAAGGGGAGATGGGTGGGAGAGGGGGGGAATAGGGAATGGGGGGCTGGGGACAGGGATTTGGGGCTGGGAGGTGGGAGAGGGGTC